AGAACCATGTGAGAGGAGACCAGCACAGAGTCCAGAGAGACACCAGGAGAGAGACCAGATGAGATGTGACCAGAGAGAGAGACAGAGAGATAAGAGACCAGAGCGAGACCCGAGAGAGAGGCCCGAGAGAGACCAGAGAGAGGGGACGATGAGAGGACCAACAGAGACAGAGCGAGACCAGAGAGAGAGACCAGACAGAGACAGAGAGAGCCCAGAAAGTGACCAGGAGAGATCAGTGCGTGACCAGTGTGAGAGAGACCAGGAAGAGAGACCCAGAGAGATGACCAGATGAGAGAGACCCAGAGAGAGACCCGAAAGTGACCAGAGAGAGACCAGAGGTAGAGAGACTATTTTCTCTCAAACTGCATTCTAAAACTAAAATGTTCGGTAACGAGCTTTGTTTTGTTGAGACGGTGATGGTGTTGTTTGTGTGTGTGTCCATGTGTGTGTGTCGTGTCCGTGTGTTGTGTGTGGAGTCAATGTGTGTGTGTTGTGGGTGTGTTGTGGTGTGTCCATGTGTGTTTGTTGTGTCCGTGTGTGTGTGCGTGTCAAGTGTGTGTATGTGTGTGTGATGTGTCCGTGTGTGTGTGTGTGTCTGTTCTCGTGCGCCTGGATTATAATCTCTTCATCCATTATTTGATGAAGTGAAAGTATCGTGGCTGAATGTGCTGCGTGGGAGATTTGTGGCTAAATCCAGCACAATCAGCCCCAGTCTACATAATGAGTGAGGAGACGCACAAATGTTCAACAGTAAAGCAACAGGACTGGATTAGAAGGCCACACACACACATACACACACACACACACCACCACACTGAGAGCAACAAGTGAAGCTTCCTATATTTGGGGGGTATATTGCTGATATGGACGAAGTGAGACAGAGAGAGAGACCAAGAAGAGAACGGAGCAACCCAGAGAGATGACCCAGAAAGGACTAGGGCACCCCCCCCCCTCTGACAGGGAGAGACCAGAGGAGAGACCAGAGAGAGACCTGAGAGAGACCACGGAAAGACCAGGGAGAGACCAGCACGAGTGACCAGAGAGAGACCAGAGAGGGACCAGGGAAAGACAGGGAGGACCAGAGAGAGACCAGAGAGAGACCAGAGAGAGACCGGAAAGACAGGGAGAGACCAGAGAGAGACCAGAGAGAGACCATGGAAAGCCCAGGGAGAGACCAGAGAGAGACCAGAGAGAGGGAACTAGAGTCTTTGTCCTGTCTTCTGACCCCCTCTCACAGATGGCGGAGCAGGAAGGGCCTGAGGCCCAAGTTTAATGTTGTAGCACAGTTCATACAGAAGGCAACTCAAAACCCAACCAAGAAACATTCCAAATCACCAAGAACTTGGAATCAATAAACCAACAACCAGAGCGAGAGGACACGGACTCTCCTGGTCCCGGTTGTTGGTGATCTCACCATTCGCGCTCAGCCGTCCATGGTACTTTTTTAGTTATTGGCTCGGCCCGGGTTCTACCAGAGTCAATATCACACAAATGCATCCACACACACATCTACTGAGCATGTGTTTTGTGGTGTGTAGTGCAAGTCCAGCCCAGCCCAGTCCAGTCCAGCCCAGTTCACGGTCCTGCCCAGCCCAGCGCAGTCCAGTCCTGCCCCAGCCAAGTCCAGCCAGTCTAGTCCAGTCCCAGTCCAGCCCAGTCCAGTCCACTGCAGTGTTCATGATACAAGTGATTTTCATCATGGTATTTCAAAAATGAAACATTTGTGAGTAACAAGATCAGGTCACTGTGAGTCTGAGACTGTTCCAACTCTGAGGGGGGGGGGGGGGGGGGGGGGGGGGGGGGGGGGTGGTGGGTGGGGGGGGGGGGGTGAGGGGGGGGGGGGGAGGGGTGGGGGGTGTGGGGTTGGGTGGGTTTGTTGGTGGGTGTGGGGGGGGGGGGGGGGGGGGGTGGGGGGGGGGGTTTTTTTTCACACACAAAACACACAACACCTTTTTCTGTGGGGGGTGGGGGGGGGGGGGGGGGGGGGGGGGGGGGGGGGGGGGGGGGGGGGGGGGGGGGGGGGGGGGGGGGGGGGGGGTGGGGGGGGGGGGGGGGGGGTGGGGGGGGGGGAGTGGGGGGGGGGGGGGGGGGGGGGGGGGGGGGGGGGGGGGGGGGGGGGGGGGGGGGGGGGGGGGGGGGGGGGGGGGGGGGGGGGGGGGGGGTGGACCATGAAGCGATTCTTGAGTCTGAGAATGTTCTAACTCTGAGACATGAAGCGACTTCTCTGAGTCTGAGACTGTTTCCAACTCTGAGACATGAGCGACTCTCTGAGTCTGGACTGTTCCAACTATGAGCACATTGAAATCGACTTCTCTGATTCTGAGGACTGTTCTAATCTGAGACCATGTAGCCGACTTCTCTGAGTATGAGACTGTTCCAACCTGGAGACCATGGAAGCGATTCTCTGAGTCTGAGACTGTTTCTAACTCTGAGAATGTGAAGGGACTTCTCTGAGTCTGAGACCTGTTCCAACTCTGAGACCATGAAGCGGACTTTTCTGAGTCTAGACTGTTCTAACTCTTGAGACCATGAAGCGACTCTCTGAGTCTGAGACTGTCTGAACTCTGCGAGGACCATGAAGCGACTTCTCTGAGTCTGAGACTGTTCCAACTCTGAGAGACATGAAGCGCACTTCTCTGAGTCTGAGACTGTTCTAACTCTCGAGACCATGATGCGCCTTCTCTGAGTCTGACACTGTTCTAACTCTAGCAGACACTGAAACAGACTTCTCTTGAGTCTGAGACCTGCTTCACACTCTTGAGACCATGAAGCGACTTTCTCTGGTCTGAGGAATGTTTAACTCTGAGACAATGAAGCGACTTCTCTTGAGTCTGAGACTTGTTGTTCCAACTCTTCGAGACCAGTGAAGCGACTTTCTCTGAGTCTGACCACTGTTCTAACTCTGAGACAATGAAGCGACTTCTCTGAGTCTGAGACTTTTCTAACTCTGAGGACCATGAAGAGCGACTTCTCTGAGTCTGAGACTGTTCTAACTCTGAGACCATGAAGGACTTCTCTGAGTTGACATTTTCAACTCTGAGACCATGAAGCGACTTCTTGAGTCATGAGACTGTTCCAACTCTGAGACATGAATGGCGACCTCTCTGAAGTCCGAGACTGTTCCAACTCTGAGACATTCGAAGCGACTTCTCTGAGTCTGACACTGTTTAACTCTGGACCATGAAGCGACTTCTTCTGAGTCTGAGACTGTTCCAACTCTGAGACATTGAAGCGGAACGTCTCTTGAGTCTGAGACTGTTCCAACTCTGAGACCTGAAGCGACTTCTCTGAGTCTGAGACTGTTCCAATCTGAGACCATGAAGCGACTTCTCTGAGTCTGAGACTGTTCCAACTCTGACACATGACGGCGGACTTCTCTGAGTCTGACCCGTTCTAACTCTGAGACCATGAAGCGACATTCTCTGAGTCCTTAGCACTGTTCCAACTCTGAGACCATGAAGCGACTTCTCTGAGTTGAGACGGTTTTCAACTCTGAGACCGAAGCGGACTTCTCTGAGTCTGAGACTGTTCCAAACTCTGAGCCCATGAAGCGAATTCTCTGAGTCTGAGACTGTTCCAACTCTGAGACCAGAAGCAGCTTCTCTCGAGTCTGAGACTGTTCCAAAACTCTGAGGTGGTATTCTGGTTGTATCATGGCTTTTCTTTGATATCAAGGTATCTTTAGTAGCGTCCAGTCTAGTCCACCCTAGGCCTGTCCCTCCATTCTAGTCCATTTCAAGTCCAGTCCCGGCCAGTCCAGTCCATTTCGAGTCCATTCCAGTCCATTGAGTCCAGTCCAGTCCATTCGAGTCCAGTAGCGTCCTGCCGCAACAGGATCTGTCAATCCTCACCTTCATCAAGCCTGGATAATTTACAAAGGAAGCTTTCATTCGTGCATCAACCGCCTCCTCCACCAACCAGAGAGGAGACAGGAGAGGCCAGAGAGAGGCCAGAGAGAGACCAGGGAGACGAGAGACAGCAGAGACCAGAGAGAGACCAGGGAGAGACCAGGGCGAGACCAGAGAGAGACAGGGGAGAGCCCAGGGGAGAGCCCAGAGAGGAGACTGAGCGAGAGGACAGGAGAGCCGAGAAAGACAGAGATGAAGACCAGGACGAGACCAGAGAGAGACAGGCGGAGACCAGGAGAGACCAGAGGAACCGACCAGAGAGAGAGACCAGGGAGAGACCAGGGAGAGACCTTGAGAGAGACCAGAGAGAGACCAGAGAAGAGACAGGGAGAGACCAGAGGATAGACCAGAGAGAGACCAGAGAGAGACCAGGGAGAGACCAGAGAGAGGCACAGAGAGAGACCAGGCAGAGACCGAGAGAGACCAGAGAGAGACCAGAGAGGAGACCAGGGATTGAGACCAGAGAGAGACCAGGAGAGACAGAGAGAGGACCAGAGAGAGACCAGGGATCGAGGCCCAGAGAGAGACCGGGAGAGACCTGGGAGAAACCAGAGAGAGCACCAGAGAGAGAGAGACCAGACGAGACCAGGACTGAGACCAGAGAGAGACCGAGAGAGACAGGGATGATACCAGAGAGAGACGGGAGAGACAGAGTGTGACCAGAGAGAGACCAGAGAGAAGAGACAGAGAAGACCAGAGAGAGACAGGAGACGCGACCAGAGAGACCAGTAGAGAGACCAGGGAGAGACCAGAGAGTTACGAGAGAGACCAGAGAGAGACCAGGAGATGAGACCAGAGAGAGACCAGAGAGATACCAGAGAGAGATCCAGGGAGGAGTACCAGAGAGAGACCAGGGAGAGACCAGAGCGATACCAGAGCGCAAGATGAGGCCAGAGAAGAGACCTGAGAGAGACAGAGAGATACCCGCGAGAGAGACCAGGGAGAGACCAGAGAGAGACCAGGGAGAGACCAGAGAGAGACCAGGGAGAGACCAGCGAGAGGACAAGGAGAGGCCCAGGGGAGAAACATGAGACGAGCCAGCCAGAGAGACCCAACAGAAGACCCAGAGAGACAGAGAGGGGGGGAAGACCAGAGGAGACCAGGGAAAGAGACTAGGAGGAGGCCAGAGAGAGACCAGGGAGGAGACCAGAGGATACCACGAGAGATCCAGAGAGAGACCAGAGACGAGACCAGAGAGAAAGGAGACCAGAGAGAGGACCCGAGAGGATACCAGAGAGAGATCAGGGAAGAGACCAGAGAGAGACCCGGGAGAGACCAGGAGATACCAGAGAGAGACAGAGAGAGGCCAGAGACGAGACCAGAGAGATACCCGAGCGGAGACATGGGGAGAGCCAGTAGAGAGACCAGGGAGAGACCAGAGAGAGACCAGAGATGAGACACGAGAGAGACCAGAGATGGACCAGAGAGAGACCACGAGAGAGACCGAGAGACCAGGAGAGAGACACGAGAGATACACGAGAGGAGACCAGCAGAGAGGCCAGAGAGATACCAGAGAGAGATCAGGGACTGAGACAAGAGAGAGACCAGGCGACTGAGACCACGAGAGATACCAGAGAGGACCAGAGAGAGGCCAGCGTGAGGACCAGAGAGATTACCAGAGCCGCGACCAGGGAGAGACCAGAGAGAGACCAGGAGAGACCAGAGAGAGACCAGAGTGGACCCGAGAGAGGCCAGAGAGCGACAGGAGAGATACCGAGAGAGACCACGGGAGAGGACCAGAGAGAGACCAGGGAGAGGACCAAGAGAGGGACCAGACAGAGAGGACCAGGGAGAGACCAGAGATGGACAGAGAGAGACCAGAGAGTGACCAGTGAGAGAGACCAGAGAGGAGACCAGAGAGAGAGAGCCAGAGCGCGACCGAGAGAGACCAGAGAGAAGACCCAGAGATGGACCAGAGAGGACCAGAGAGAGACCAGAGAGGACCAGAGAGAGACCAGAGACACCAAGAGAGAGACCAACGAGGAGACCGGAGAGAGACCAAGCTGGAGACAGCCGTAGTGGACTAGACCTGTCCAGTGGATCCTGGACTACCTCACAGACAGACCCAGTTTGTTGAAGACAGGGGACTATGTGTCTGGGTCCTGACCTGCATGTGGGGGGCCCCCAGGGACTTCAGACACAACACGGTCGGTTGTGTCCTCCAGAAGTAACTCCAACGACTCTGCCATCATCGGACCAGCTCCATGAGGCCGATGACACAGAGTACAGAGGAGTTATTACAGGACTTTGTGGGCCACGACGAAAGGACCAAGAGATGAACCCCTCCTCATCAACAGAAGACCAGTGAGGTGAACCACCTCCTCATCAACAGAAGACCAAGGATGATGACCACCTCTCATCAACAGAGACCAAGGAGATGAACCACCTTCTCATCAACAGCAGACCAAGGAGATGAACACCCATCCTCATCAACAGAAAGACAAGGAGATGAACCACCTCCTCAATCAACAGAAGACCAGGAGATGAAACCACCTTCCTCATCAACAGAAGACCAGGGCATGGAAACCACCTCTCATAACAGAAGACCAAGGAGATGAACCACCTACTCATCAACAGAAGACCAAGGAGATGAATAGCCCCTCCTCATCAACAGAAGACCAAGGAGAAGACCACTCCTCATCAAAGATGAACAAGGAGAAGAACCACCTCCTCATCACAGAAGACCAAGGAGATGAACCACCTCTCATTCACCAGAAGACAAGGAGATGAACACCTTCTCATCAACAGTAATGGCCAAGGAGAAGAACCACCTCCTCATCAACGTGAGGATGCCAGGAGAGAACCCCACCTCCTCATCAACGCGGGAAGGCCTAAGGAGATGAACCACTCCTTCGATCAACGCGGGGAAGACTAAGGCAGATGAACCACCATTCCTCATCAACGTGGGAAGGACCAAAGGGAGATGGTTGGTGGTTTTCCGCGACGTCACTCTGCCGCTCAGCTCAGTGAACATCCAGGGATAAGGAATCGAGAGGGGATAAGGGGGGTAGGAAAAAACTCTTACAAGTACCGTGGGTTCTTTGTTAATCTGAACCACAAACTGGATGGAGTCATAAACACAGACGCCCTCTTCATGAAGGCAGGCCGCCTTACTGCTGAGGAGGCTCAGTTCTTTTGGAGTGCAGGGGCCACTCTGAAGCTTCTATGACTCTTGTGGTGGAGCTCTCTTGTACGGTGTGGTCCTTACTGGTACAGGCTGGCATCACAGAGAGGGACAGGAGAAGCTGGACAAGTTATCAGGAAGGTCCAGCTCAGTCTGGGAGGCTGATCCTCTGGACACAGTTTGCAGCCGGTGGGGTACAAGGAGCGGACATGAGCAAACTAACATCTATAGCGTCGACCATGACTGTTCGCCCCTGCAGGACACTCTCTTGCTGCTCTGGAGAGCAGCTTCAGTGACAAGACTAATTCACCTCGTGTGTGAAGGAGAGGATTGACAGGTCTTCTTCCCTGCTGCTGTCAGATGAACAACGAGAATGTGCAACAGGAACTGCTAATCAGTCACTGATAGTTCACTATTACATTTTGTCACTAGTCACTTTACCTGTTATCAGGTACTACTGTATTATTACAGATCTGATAATTCTGCCTTTCCCGTCACTTTACTGTGATTTTTTTTTACGATGCTTATTCTGCTCCTATTCATATTCTCCGCTGCTAAGTACCCATATTCCCATTGTAATACTCCTGAACCAAGGCGTTATAGCCAAAGTTTGTATTTTTATTCTTATCTTAAATATTATTGTCTATGTCTTAACAATAGACTATGTGATGTGCTGCAATCTGAGTGCACTTATGTCCTCTCTCTGCTGTCATGTGCCACGATGAACTGACATTTCTCCGACTGTGAGACTAATAAAGGCTTTTATTTATCGCAGAGAGAGAGAGAGACCAGAGAGAGAGAGCCGATAGAGCGACCCAGGGTGAGAGACCAGCGAGAGAGAGCAGAGAGATGAGACCAGAGAGGAGCAGACGGATAGACCAGAGGAGAGAGCACCAGAGGAGGACGAGACCAGGGAGAGGAGAGCATGAGAGAGAGGCAGGAGAGAAGAGACCAGAGAGAGACAGGGGAGGAGCAGAGAGATGAGAGACCAGAGGAGAGCCAGAGAGAGAGACCGAGAGAGCGCAGAGCAGAGACCAGAGAGAGAGACCAGAGAGAGAGACAGAGGAGGAGACCATGAGGAGAGACCAGGTAGAGAGACCCAGGAGCTGAGAGCAGACGAGCGAGAGCAGAGAGAGAGCAGAGAGAAGAGAGCAGAGAGGAGGACCCGAGAGATACCGGGAGAGAGAGCAGAGAGAGGCAGAGAGAGAGACCAGAGAAGAGACCCGGGAGAGAGAATAGAGAGCAGAGAGAGAGACCCAGAGAGAAGAAACCAGCAGAGAGAGCAGAGAGAGACCAGAGAGAAGGACCAGAGAGAGAGAGAAAAAACCCCCAGTAGAGAGAGCAGAGTCGAGAGCAGATAGAGAGCAGAGAGAGAGAGAGCAGAGAGAGACCAGAGAGAGACCAGGGAGAGAGAGCAGAGAGGAGAGCAGAGAAGAGAGCAGGAGAGAGCAGAGAGAGAGAGCAGAGAGAGTCCAAGAGAGACACACACACACTCTCATCACTGTGTGAGTTTTGGCTCAGGTGATGTACCTGATGATAGACCCCAGTGTGTAGTTCATTTCCTTCATACTTGAACCAAAAACCGCGTCATGTTGGTGAGAACAAAACGCTACCTGACTTTCCCCCGTGAGAGCAGTACGGCTCTGGTTTCTCCCTGTCCCCTCTCTCTCTTTCTCTCTGTCTCTCTCTTCTGGTCTTTGTCTCTCTCTCGTTATGGTCTCTCTCTGGACTCACTCTGGTCTCTCTCTCTGGTCTCTCTCTGGTCTCTCTCTGGACTCTCTCTGTCTCTCTCCCTGGTCTCTCTCTGGTCTCTCTCTGCTCTCTCTCTCTCTGCTCTCTCTCTGCTCTCTCTTGCTCTCTTACGCTGGTCTCTCTCTGGTCTTCTCTCTCGGGTCTCTCTCTGCTCACTCTCCTGGGTACTCTCTCTTGGGTCTCTCTCTCTGCCTCTCTCCCTGGTCTCTCTTGGACTCTCTCTCTGCTCTCTCTCTTCTCCTTCCCTGGATCTCTCTCTGGTCTCTCTCAGCTCTCTCTCTCTGCTCTCTCTCTGCTCTCTCTTGCTCTCTCTCCTGTCTCTCTACTGGTCTCTCTCTTTGGTCTCTCTCTCTGTCTCTCACTTTGCACTCTCTCTGGTCTCTCTTGCTCTCTCTTGGTCTCTCTCTTGTTCTCTCTCTTGGTCTCTCTCTCTCGCTCTCTCTCCCTGGTCTCTCTCTGAGTCTCTCTCTCTGCTCTCTCTTGCTCTCTCTCCCTTGGTCTCTCTCTCTGGTCTCTCTCCTTGGTTCTCTCTGCTCTCTCTCTGGTCTCTCTCTCTGCTCTTCTCTCTATGGTCTCTCTCCCTGGTCTCTCTCTTGCTCTCTCTCTCTGTCTCTATCTCTCTCTGAGATAAGCTAAAACTTTATTAGTCTCACAGTGGAGAAATGACAGCCCATTGGTCATCGTTGCAACAATTACAGCAGAGAGAGGACATAAGAGCATCCGATTCGCACACATCAAATAGTTATTGTTTAAGACAATAGACAATAAAATTAAGAAAGAATAAAAATAAACTTTGGGCTATAATGCACTTGGTTCAGAGTATTTAACAGATGGATATATTGTACTTTAGCAGCGGAGAATATGAATATGAGCAGAATAAGCATCGTAAAAAATATCACAGGTAAAGTGACGGTGAAAGGCAGAAATATCACGATCTGTAATAATACAGTAAGTACTGATACAGGTAAAGTGACTAGTGACATAGTTATAGTGAACTATCAGTGACTGATTAGCAGTTCATGTTGCAACATTCTCGTTGTTACTGTCTGAAAGCAGCAGGGAAAGAAAGGACCTGTCAAACCTCTCCTTCACACAGGAGGGTGAATTAGTCTGTCACTGATACTGCTCTCCAGAGCAGAGAGAGTTGTTGCCGGGGGGCGTCAGTCATGAGTCAGCATAGATGTTAGTTTGCTCAGGGACCCTCCTGTCCCCCACCTGCTGCCACTGTGTCCAGGGAAACAGCCAGGACTGAGCTGGACTTCCTGATAACTTGTCCGCTTCTTCCTGTCCCTCTTGTGATGCTGCTGTTCCAGGCAGACACAACGTACAAGAGGCTCCACCACAGAGTTCATAGAAGGTTCTTCAGGAGTGGCCTGCACTCCAAAGACCTGAGCCTCCTCAGCAGGTACGAGGCGGCTTCTGGCCCTTTACCCATGAAGAGGGCGTCTGTGTTAAGACTCCAGTCCAGTTTGTGGTTCAGATGAACACCCAGGACTTGTATGATGTCCACTTCTCCCTTCTCCCCCCTTCTTTCCTTTGTTGTTATCGATGTCCTTTCATGGATGTTCACTGGAGCTGGGAGCGGGCAGAGTGACGGTCTGCCGGAAAAAACCACCACCATCTCCTTGGTCTTCTCCGTTGATGAGGAGTTGGTTCATGCTCCTTAGTCTTCCGCGGTTGTGAGGAGGTGTTCATCTCCTTAGTCTTACGGTTGATGGGGAGGTGTCATCTCCTTGGTCTTCCTCACGTTGATGGAGGGAGGTCGGTTTTCTCCTTGGCCTTCTGTTGATGAGAAGGTGGTTCATCTCCTTGGTCTTCTGGTTGTTGAGGAGGGGGTTCATCTCCTTTGGTCTTTCTGTTGATGAGAGGTGGTTTTCTCCTTGGTCAATCCGATGATGAGGAGGTGGTTCTTTCCTTGGTCTTTGTTGATGAGGGAGGTGGTTACTCTCCTTGGTCTTCTGTTGATGAGGGGTGGTTAATCTCCATGGTCTTCTGTGATGAGAGGTGGTTTCATCTCCAAGGTCTTCTGTTGATGAGGGAGGTGTTATCTCCTTGGTCTTCTGGTGATGGAGGAGGTGGTTCATCCTCCTTGGTTTCTGTGATGAGGAGGTGGTTCATTCCTTGGTCTTCTGTTGATGAGGAGGTGGTTCATCTCTTGGTCTACTGTTGATAGGAGGTGGTTCATTCCTGGTCTTCTGTGATGAGAGGTGGTTCACCTCCTTGGTCTTCTGTGATGAGGAGGTGGATTCATCTCCTTGGTCTTTCTCGTTCCACAAAGTCCTGTATAAACTCCTCTGTACTCTTGTGTCATCGGTCTCGGAGCTGAGGGTACGATGATGGCAGGTCGTCGGAGAAACCTTCTGGAGGACACAACCGACGTGTTGTGTCTGAAGTCCACTGGGGGGGCCCCCACAATGCAGGTCAGGACCTCAGACACAAAGTCCTGTTCTCACAACTGGGGTCTGTATGTGAGGTAGTCCAGGATCCACTGGGACAGCGTCGTAGTCCCAACGGCTGTCTTCAGCTTGTCTCTCTCAGGTCTATCTTTGGTTCTCTCTGGTGTCTCGGTCTCTCTCAGGTCTCTTGTCTTCTCTGGCTCTCTATGGTCATCTCTGGTCTCTCTCTGGTCTCTCTCTGGTCTCTCTCTGGTTCTCTCTGGTCTCTCTCTTGTTTCTCTCACTGGTCTCTCTCAGGTCTCTCTTAGGTCCATCTCTGGTCTCTCTTGGGTCTCTCTCTGTCTCTCTCTGGTCTCTCCCTGGTCTCTCTCTCTATGGTCTCTTCCCTGAGTCTCTCTCTGGTATCTCTCTGGTCTCTCACTGGCCTCTCTCTGCCTGTCCATCTCTGGTCTCTCTCTGGTCTCTCCAAGGTCTCGCTCTGGTCTCTCCCTGGTCTCTCTCTGGTATCTCTCTTGGTCTCTCTCTGGCCTCTCTCTGGTCTCTCTCTGGTATCTCTCTGGTTCTCCCTGGTCTCTCACTGGTCTCTCCCTGATCTTCTCTGGTATTCTCTGGCCTCTCTCCTGGTCTCTCTTGGATATCTCTCTTGTCGTCTCCCTGGTCTCTTCTGGGTCTCTATTGGTCTCTCTCTGGTCCATCTCTGGTCTCTTCTGGTCTCTCTTGGTCTCTCTTTGTCTCTCCCTGGGTCTCCTGCTGGTCTATCCCTGGTCTCTCTCTGGTATCTCTGATGAGTCTCTCTCTGGCTCTCTCTGGTCTCTCTATGGTATCTCTCAGGTCTCTCCCTGGTCTCTCTCTGGTCTCTCCCTGATCTCTCTTGGTATCTCTCTGGTCTCTCTATGCGTCTCTCTCTGGTCTCTCTCGGTCTCTCTCTTGGTATCTCTCTGGTATCTCTCTGGTCTCTCCCTGTCTCTCTCTGGTCTCTCTCTTGTCTCTCCCCTAGGTCTCTCCCTGGTCTCTCTCTGGTCTCTTCTGGTCTCTGTCTGGTCTTCTCCCTGGTCTCTCTCTGGTCTCTCCTTGTCTGATCCCTGGTCTCTCTCTGGTCTCTCCCAGGTTCTCTCTCTGGTCTCTCTTGGTCTCTCTCTGGTCCTCTCCCCTGGTCTCTCCCTGGTACTCTATCTTGGTCTCTCTCTGGTCTCTCTCTGGTCTCTCTCTTGGTATCTCTCTGGTCTCTTCCCTGGTCTCTCTCTGGTCTCTCTCTGGTCTCTCACTGGTCTCTATCTGGTCTCTCTCTGGTCTCTCTCTGGTCTCTCCCTGGTCTCTCTCTGGTCTCTCTCTGGTCTCTCCTTGGTCTCTCTCTGGTCTCTCTCTGGTCTCTCCTGGTCTATCTCTGGTCTTCCCTTGGTCTCTCCTGAGGTCTCGCTCCCTGGTCTCTCTCTGGTCTCTCCCTGGTCTCTCCTGGTAACTCTCTTGGTCTCTCTCTGGTCTCTCCCTGGTCTCTCTTCTGGTCTCTCTCTGGTCCTCTCCTCTGGTCTCTCTCTGGTCTCTCTCTGGTCTCTCCCTGGGTCTCTCTCTGGTCTTCCCTGGTCTCTCTCGGGTCTCTCTTGGGTCTCTACCTGGTCTCTTCCCTGGTCTCTCTCTGGTCTCTCTCTGGTCTCTCTCTGGTCTCCTCTCTGGTCTCTACCTGGTCTCTCTCTGGCTCTCTCTGGTCTTCTCTGGTCTCTCTCTGGTCTCTCTCTGGTATCTCTCTGGTCTCTCTCCTGGTCTCTCTCTGGTCTCTCTCTGGTCTCTCTCTGGTCTCTCTCTGGTCTCTCCTGGTCTCTCTCTCTGGTCTCTCTCTGGTCTCTCCCTGGTCTCTCTGGTCTCTTCTCTGGTCTCTCCATGGTCTTCTCGCGGTTTTCTCTCTCTCCTGGTCTCTCCCTGGTCTCTCTCTGGTCTCTCTCCTGTCTCTCTCTGGTCTCTCTCTGGTCTCTCCCTGGTCTTCTCCTGGTCTCTCTCTGGTTTCTCTACTGGTCTCTCTCTGGTCTCTCTCTGGTCTCTCTTGGCCTCTCTCTGGTCTCTCTCTGGTGGTGGAGGGAGGCGGGTTGAATGCCACGAATGAAAGCTCCTATTGTAAATTATCAGCTTGATGAGCGGTGAGGAATGACAGATCCTGTAGCGGCAGGACTCTACTGGACTCGAATGACTGGACTGGACCTCAAATGGAAATGAATGGGACTCGAGATGGACTGGACTGGACTGGACTGGACTTGAATGGACTAGAATGGCGGGGACTGGACTAGGAGGACATAGACTGGACTCCGAATAAAGATACTTGCTACCAAAGAAAGCCATGATACAACCAGTACCACCTCAGAGTTGGAACAGTTCTCAGACTCAGGAAGTCGGCTTCATGGTCTCCGAGTTGGAACAGTCTGAGACTCAGAGAAAGTCGTTCATGGTCTCAGAGTTGGAACTGTCTCAGACTCAGAGAAGTCGCTTCATGGTTCAGAGTTGGAAACAGTCTCAGACTCAGAAGAAGTCGCTTCATGTCTCAGAGTTGGAACAGTTCAGACTCCGAGAAGTCGCTTCATGGGTCTCAGAGTTAGAACAGGTCAGACATCAGAGAAGTCGCTTCATGTGTCAGAGTTGAACAGTCTCAGTTCAGAGAAGTCGCATCATGGTTCAGAGTTGAACAGTCTCAGGAGCTCAGAGAAGTCGCGTTTCCATGGTCTAGAGTTGGAACAGTCTCAAGACTCAGAGAAGTCGGCTTCATGGTCTCAGAGTTGGACCTCTCAGACGAGAAGTCGCTTCCATGGTCTCAGAGTTAGACAGGTCTGACTCAGAGATCGCTTCATGGGGTATCAGGTTGGTACAGTCTCAGACTCATGAGAGTCGATTCTATGGTCTCAGAGTTGGAACAGTTCTCCAGATCAGAGAAAGTCGCTTCATGGTCTCAGAGTTAGAAACGTGTCAGACTCAGAGAACGTAGCTTCATGGTCTCAGAGTTTAGAACAGTCTCAGACTCAGAGAAGTCGCTTCATGGTTCAGAGTTAGAACAGTCTTCAGACTCAGAGACGTCGCTTCAATGGTCTCAGAGTTAGAACAGTGTCCCGACTCAGAGCAGTCGCTTCATGGTCTCAGAGTAGGAACAGTCTCAGATCAGAGAGTCGCTTCATGGTCTCAGAGTTAGAACCGTCTCAGACTCAGAGAAGTCGCTTCATGGTCTCCGAGTTGGAACAGTCTCAGGTCTCAGAGAAGTCGTTTCATGGTCTCAGAGTTAGAACAGTTTCAGACTCAGAGAAGTCGGCTCTTTGGTCTCAGCGTTAGACAGTCTCAGGACTCAGAGGAAGTCGCTTCATGGTCTCAGAGTTGGAACAGTCTCAGACTCAGACGAAGTCGCTCATTGGTCTCCGAGTTAGAACAGGTCCTCAGACTCAGAAGAAGTCGCTCATGGTCTCAGAGTTCGAACAGTCTCAGGACTCAGAAAGAGCTTCATGGTCCTCAGAGTTGGAACAGTCTCAGACTCAGAGAAGTCGCTCATGTGAGTCTCAGAGTTAGACAGTCTCGACTCAGAGAAGACGCTTCATGGTCTTCAGAGTTGACCAGTCTCAGACTCAGAGAAGGTCGCTTCGATGGTCCTCAGAGTTAAGAACCGTCTCAGACTCAGAGAAGTCGCTTCATGGTCTCAGAGTTGGAAACATCTCTGACTCAGAGAAGTCGCTTCTGGTCTCAGAGTTGGAACAGTATTCAGACTCAGAGACAGTAGCTCATGGTCTCAGAGTTAGAACAGTCTCAGACTCAGAGAAGTCGCTTATGGTCTCAGAGTTTGGAACAGTCTCAGACTACAGTGGCATCCTTGAACTTGTTACTCACAAAGGTTCATTTTATTGAAAATATGTGAAAATCAACTTGTATCATGAACCGCAGTGGACTGGACTGGGCTGGAACTGGACTGGACTAGATGGGCTGGACTTGGCTGGGCAGGGATGGACTGCGCAGGGCTGGGCAGGACTGAACTGGGCTGGACTGGACTTGGCAGCGGCTGGATTGGCACTACAACACAAACACACATGCTCAGTATGATGTGTGTGTGGATGCGATTGTGTTGATTATTGACTCTGTTAGAACGGGCCGAGCCATAACTAAAAAAGTACCATGGCGCGGCTGAGGTCGAGTTGAGTGAGAACACCTCAACCGGGACCAGGAGGAGTCCGTGTCTCTCTCTGAGATGTATATGATTCTAGTTCTTTGTGATTTAATGTTTCTTGTTTGATTTGAGTTGTCTTCTGTAGAACAGTGCTACACATTAAACTTGCCTCGGCCCTTCCTGCTCGCCACTGAGAGAGGGTCAGACGACAGGACCAAGATTAGACCTTCTCTGGTCTCTCTCTGGTCTCTCCCTGGTCCTTTCTGGTCTCTCTCTGGTCTCTCTTGGCTCTCTGGTCTTTCCCTGGTCTCTCTCCTGGTCTCTCTCTGTCTCTCTCTGGTTCGTCTCCCTGTCTTTCCTGGTCCCTCTCTGGTCTCTCTCTGGTCTCCTCTCTGGGCTCTCTGGTCTTTCCTGGTCTTCTCTGGTCTCTCTCTGGTCTCTCTCTGGTCTCTCCCTGGTCTTTCCCTAGTCTCTTTCTGGTCTCTCTCTGGTTTCTCCCTGGTCTCTCTCGGTTCTCTCTTGGTCTCACTTCTTGTTCCATATCGCTAGTCCCCCAAATATTGGA